GTCGTGCATGCCGTAGTCGTTAGACCATTGACCTCGCATCCCTACAAAGCCGGGACGGAGTACGCCGGGTTCTCACCGGACCAGGTTCTCACATCACAAGGCACTAACCGCCGTGAGGTATTCGGCGAGTCGCATGGAGGGTGTGCTGCATCCTGCTAAGCCGGGGGATGGGGGGTACGCAGGATCATCAAGGCTGTAGTCCTCAGGCCAAAGACCCCAATGGGAGATTTTTGAGGGAACACGAAGGATAGGAGGTATATTTGTCCAAAGTTTCTCTTTTTACAGTGCTGCCCACTCCTTTTTGTTTCAATCGGCTCCTTTAGCGATACAATAGGGTTCTTCGATCCTCCCATGGTGTAGACATGTTGGGGAATGTTTATTGCTTTCGACACGGGACTGTCGTGGAGGCGGGAGCAGTTGCTTGATGCAAGTATGTCTTCCGGATGAATGAGTTTCTACAATCTCCTATGCTGCTGCTGCTGCTGCTGCTGCGGCTGGGTTGTTGGCGGTGCTCTTCGATCATTACTTCGCCTTCGAGTACCCAATCTAACCGGGCAGGCGATCCGCACGAACCGTCGCCCGCCACCCCCAACTCAACGGGCCATCCCCCGAGCGTGCGCGCGGCTCGAACCTAAACCGACTCTTCCTTAACACCAAACTCCCCTGCCATGTGTTGCGGCGGCGGTAGGATCGGAGGGGCGAGCATGCCGGCCCTGAGCGGAGACTTCCTGGCCATGTCGGTCTTCTTCTACGCGATGCACTGCCTGCACGCGCTAGGACCGGCGGAGCTGGCGGCCTGGCCGAGACCCACCCTGTCCGAGCTGCGGGACGCGGCGCGGGGGTTCTGTGGAATGGAATGGGGGGCCCTGCAGAATCGGAAGGTGCGCAAAAGGGTGGTTTTGTTGTCGTTGTTGTGTTGTCGTTGCTTTCGTCGGCGGTCTTGCTGTGAGTTTTCCTGCACCCATGCGGCGGGTACATTGGACACCGGTCGCCCCGGTGGTCTAGTGGGTAGCCTCGCAGCCTTTTAAGGGCCAGGTCATGGGTTCGAGTCCCGACAGAGTGAGCTTTTCTCGCTAATTACATCCTGGTCTCCGTTGGAAGCGACGGGCTGCAAAGCTCGTTGTTAGTAAACTTGATCGACTTCATAAGTCGCGAGGGAAGGGATTGCTGTACCCTTCTCCCGATAAAAGCATCTCAGGCAGGAACCGCAGGAGGGGGTCCAACCCCCCCCTCCCATGTGACCCCGGTTGGGTCGTTAAGCTGGTAGAAGTGGAGGATAGGGGCCAGAGGGGCAGACGACAGAGTCCAATGATGGGAGAAAAACAACAGAAAACAAAAACTCGGGCGTTTTCTGAAGGTTGTTGCTTGTCGTCAGCACAGCAGTTCTGCAGAATGGCATGGGGGGCCCCGCGGGACCGAAAGGTGTGGTATCGGTGATTGTTTTGTTGTTGTGTTTGCTCTGCTCTTCGGCTCTGTCGTAGGTTTTTGTTGTGTGTCATCGATGGGCTTTGTCGTTGCTGGTGCCGTGTTGGGATGGCGGGTGGTTGTTGCTTCTGTGTGGGGCGTTACCCTCATGCACGCGACAGTTAGCTTCGGCCAGTTGCTGGCGGTGAGTAAAGTTATTTTCCCGCATTTCGTGGCAGCAGCCCTCGTCCCCCTCCCCGCCGAGCTAGATTTTTCGATTCATTTTTCCAACGATACTTGCAGAGCTCAAGCACGCTCCATCTCAGGACCTCGAGACAATGCCTCCCTCACACGTCTCTCTTTTCTCGTCTAACAAGAAATCAAAACTCATCCTCGGCTCGCCTCGATTCTCCCTGTGTTCATCGCGCAACAGGAACAAGAATCAAGATTCGCCCCCTGGCACGCTCCGATTCCGCATGGGAGTATTATTTGCGCAACAGGAACAAAAAATCACCCCGCCCCGCCCCCGCCTGCCCTGACTCCCGATGTGTTCGTTGTACAACAGGACGCTATCAGCGCTCAAGACGTGCTTTTCAGCACCTCCGAAGAGGGCCTGCCTCACCGGTGCGTGGAGGTGGTGTACATGACCACGCTCCTCCGGGACGGATACGGTTTTCCGGAACACTCGCGGAACGTTACCTACGCGCTGGAGGCGGATGGGATGGAGGTGAGGGAAGAGTCATACAGCAGTTTCTGCTGTCGAGGAACCCCGCACAATATAAAACGGTAACGGTATGTAGCTTTGGTTGTCCAGCTATTAGGTAAGACTGGCGTCTTTTCATTTGGTGGACTGACGACTTCAAGTTGTCCGGGCGATTGGCGTGGTCGATGCCAATCGAAGATTCACACACACGCACGTGCAGGGCGTTTGTTATTGCGCCTTGCTCGTTTTTCAAGTGTTCGGTATCCGGAGACTGAGACGTCCCGTGACTTCCCGACCCCCCCCCCCCCCCCCCCCCCCCCCCCCCCCCCCCCCCCCNCCCCCCCCCTCCGTCGGGGGACTCCGTGGATTTGTAAGTGTTTCATCGTTTTTCTCCCTGCCACTAGATGTAATTCTGTCTTTTTTCATTGGCAAGGCTAATGGCACGGTAGTCGAAGCATACCGTATATGGCACAAGATAAAACACCCCCTTGACCAATTTTCGAAGCTCGATTTCTCAACTGCAGGAATAATCACAGCACCGAAAACGGCGGCGTTGAAAGCTTCTCGTCTAGAGCTTTTCGAAAATATATTCGTTTCGTTTATGCATCCTCTTCGTCGTGGAGTAATCGAGCTTTGAAGATCGGTCCAGGGCGTGTGTTATCTTGTGTCATATACGGTACCAACGAAGCACATACCTTAAGCATTTGGTGCAGGATTGCACCCCTCTCCCTGTAAGCACCTGAGGATTGCCACACCGGGTTGTGAAGTGCTTTGCGCCTGTATTCAGTTTCCACATGCTCGGGGTGAGTATCCCTTGGCATGTAGCACATTCGGTTTAAGAACTGACGCCAACAGTAAGAGAGAAGGTCGCTTCTTGTACTGCTGTAGGAAGAAAACTCGTTTGCATTGCCAAGACGAACCTCTCTCTGTCAGTACTGTACATGTCGCGGTATTTTGCAAACAGAAATTCGACCGTAACATGTTTGTATTTATGCGACACCCCCCCCCCATTTCGTGAGGGCCTCAAACAAGACAGTAAGCTGGTCTGAGTGATTTCCCCCCTTTCGTCCTTCAATACTTTCCTTGAACAAGAATTGTTTCTGCTCCCGCTCGCTGCTGTTATGGAGTTGTTTGACACATCCCTTTCGACTGTCGTAACATCTCGAACGGGTAGCCTATCTTTGATTCTAGATATACGTTCGAAAAAGAAATTGGTGGAAGTTGATTGTGTCTTGCCGTCACGTCACCATGCTCAATCTGAAACCACCCTCGAACTCCTTCCTTGTGATCCGCGCGCTTGTTGTTGTTGTATTTTTCCAGCTCGAATGGACTCTAGGGTATGCCCTCGCTGAGTTCGCTCGGGTCAGAGAAGGTGGAAAGGCGTCTCCCGAGGTGGACGACGACGCGGCGCGGTTGGGGTTGGGGGGTTACGCGGAAGGCAACGCGTCAGTTGGTGGGGGTGGGGGTGCTCCCGTCGGTGTCGACACCGGCACCAGCTGCTGTAACAGCGGCATCGGGTGCATCAGCAGCAGCATCGCAACCAGCTGTGGCGACGGCAGCACTTGTGGCGGCAGCGGCAGCGGCGGCGGCGGCGGCGGCGGCGGTGGCGGCGGTTGCGGTGGTGGTAGGGTGGCTAATTATCACACGGACCCCGGCGGTAGCGGGACCGTCAAGAGCCTTCTCGAGGTAGCGGCGGCGGCCGTGTCTGCCGCCGGCTGGAATTGGAGGACGTTTTGGAACCAAGGAGAAAACGGCGATGCCTCCGCCACTGTCTCCAGCGGGAGATAAATGAGGAGGCTGGGCTGCTGCTGCTGCTTCTGCGCGAGAGGGAAAGGGGCAGTCGCGAAACGTTCCAAGCGCCCAGGCTGTTGTTGCTTTTTTTGGCTCGTTTGCAGGACGATTCTCCGCTGGCAGTTTCGTCTATTGAGAGGCATTCGAAGCACCATGTCCTGTAGGGCAGAAGGCTTGATTGGTAAGGAAGATGGACAATACTCGCCTTTGTCGGGACGTCTGGGGTGATGCGACCTCCGCGTACGTCGTGCAAAACCCGCCCTGGAAGGGGAAATGATTTTCTCTCGTACATAGAACTCTCCCGCTCAAAGCGACCGTTGTTCCGAAAGGCGTATTTGTGCGCGTGTAGACGAGACGGCACATAGCGTGTGGGTAGAGCTAATGCTAGGGCCAGAGGACGGTCGTTCGGATTCCTGGGATAAGCGTCACGGGCTAAGGCTTGTGACCAATTTGTGTAGAAAGCAGGGATTCGTTCGGCGTCGTTAGGCTTAAGCTGGTGCCAGCGCGCAGTAAAAAGCGGCAAGAGAGCAACACCGACCCCATGCGACGCGGTAGTCGTAGACTAGATTGGGTTTGTTCTGTGCTAAGACGAGAGTTTATCGTTTTTTGTGGTTGCGACTGTACTATGATAGAACGACTAGATTTGACCCTCTTGTGGTACACATTGTTGGCTTGTTCTCGGCAAATAGCTGAGGCGATACAGAGACATGGTGTTTATCTTGAGGTCGGAGAAAGCCGCAACCGTTGACAACTCCGGCGATGCCGTCTTGCTGTGCCAGGTCAAACAGTCCACTTGCTCCGTACAGTAGAACATACATTAATATGCGCTTTTTGTTGTCTGTTTTTGTGAGGTGGCGTATTTATTCACGGGAGGGAGGGGGGAGGGAATACCGTTTGATCGATCGCAATTTTGATGGAAGCCTCGGGGTCTCCTTTCCTTTTCGAGTGAAGTAATGACGTGTGTGCATTGTTCCATCATTACATCACTCACAGAGTAAAAATGACCGAGACTTCGATATATTTCTCGCCATTTTTTGGGATGCAATGAGGATAGCATCGGTTCAAGCAACCGTTGATAATATTGTCGTGGTTGCTGTGTATGAAACAATTTTACGGATGTTGTCGTCGGTGTGGTTGTGCCAAGATGGCCGATGTTTGGGAGGGAGAAAGATGGAACAGAGGTTTGTATCTCGCTTCTGGAGCAGGTGCTTGTGGTGGTTGGCTCTGTATTTTCTGCTTGTTACAACTGTAGTTTTGTTTTGCTTTCCATCCGCCCTATTCCTTGGAATTTGCGCGCAAAGATAGAACTTTTGTCACACCACTCTATCTCTGTCGGTGAAAGTGTCGAAATGGTGTGACCGTTTCTTTCAGGTCTGGTTGTGCATGTAGTATTGGTAGAAGTTGTCGTTGCTGTTGTTGGTGCTGGGTGTCAGGGCTGCGTTGTCTGTGGACGGTGGGAAATTGAGGCGTATATACAGCCCATACGCCTTCATAGCGAGAAATGTGGACCTTTTCCATTGTGGAACGATTATTTTACTTGTGTTCTTTTCGGGGGGAGGCGCAGGTTGGTTGTGGGTGTTTACGGTTGTAGCATCAACGAATCAATCCGTGCTGGTGCTTAACGATGGCACTATTTCTGGCATTATGACAGTCGCATTGTCTCCTTTTGTTTTCGTCGTGTGCGTGTTTCTGGCGTGCCGTATCCCGGCAAGCTCATCATCTCTTGTTCCGATGTAACATGGGGGGACAGTGACAACGGGGGGCAGTAAAAAGATGCACTGATAGTACACCCACCTGAAGCCGATCTTCTCGTTTTGTGTGCTCAAACTTAATGTGTAATACAACCTCGTATGGCTTGTACCGTAGCCCTTGAGTCGCCCCTTCGCGCGCTGAAACGTCGTTCGCAGCGTCAGGTTTCGCGCCCCGGTTTTTTGCGGAGAGAAGGCACTATATGGATGGGGTCTACCCCAGGCACTATATCGGGTCTGGCCGAGTGGCGTAGTGGCTTGGATTTTTCGGGGGTGTTTTTCCGAAGATGTTTGTGGAAAACAGGCGGCTAAAATAGTACAAATGACGAACAGGTCCAACTCATTGGGGGAGGGGGGCAGGGCGAGGCCCGCAAGCTTTTCGCTGAAACTAGAGGGGGAAGGAGCTATCTCCGAAGATTCCGTGCGTTGCACGGCCGTAGCGCCAGCTGTTAGAGCTAGGCGGGCTCACGGTAGTCTCTAGGCCCAGAGCGCCGTGTGCGGGTGGCGACCGGCGAAGAAGCCGAATCAAGGTATAGCCTGATCACCCTCAGCAGGGCGTATCATCCAGCGAATAGACTACTAGAACAGACCAACATGGACAGAAAAACATGGCATGTATGCGGTACAAGCGACACGCTGCTAACAGTGCTCCTGCCTTCATGATTGGTGTTGTGCGGAGGGCCCGGCGATTCATCGCAGGAACAGGCGCTCGTTGATGCCTGGTCTTTTAGCTCAAAATTTAACCGCCAGGAGCGTGGTGGAGACCATCTCCGACTATTCCTCCTACAACTGTATACACATCACCTGTTGGATTCGGGATGATTTTTAACCCAGAGTGCCGTCGGCAAACCTGATCTTCAGAGCCCTCGCCCGAGCATGCTCGTCCTATCAATGCAACCTCCAAACCAAGCACAGCAGTGGTGATGCCGTATCACTGAACCAACCTACTGTATGCCAATAATGTATTGGTATCGCAGCTTGCCTCGGGCCCGTGCTGGTCCTCTACTTTTTTTTTTTCTTGAGGTGGTGTCTCGTTTCCACTGGGTGTTGCAAACGCGAAACAATCCGGGCAGGGATCCACCTATTCGCACGCACAAATCGGTCGAGATCTACCGACTGTTGCCAATACTGTACCATCACGCCAATTGGGTCCATCCCATATCGCCAAACATACAACACCCCCCTTCCCCCCGCTAGCCGTTTAACCGCTTGGAAACCCCGCAACAAAAACAGCGATCCCTCACGAGAGGGGGCTCACAGAGCAAAGCATTGTCATCAAGGGATGATACAAGATGACACTAGAAAGCAGGCAGCAGGGCTAACTTTTTTTCCCAAGCTGACGTGTTTGACTCGACGAGCCTAGCGAACCCGAATGAACCCAAAACAATAATGATACAAATCTGTATCCAATCTTTCTAGACAGCAGACAGACCGTTTCAGGCACCGCCGAAACAATGGTACTCAACACAGGACAACACAACACCAACACGAGACAATCCTCCCTCCCCAAACACCTCATTCCACTCCCCGTGGTAACATATTTTCCACTTTCGTGGAAACATATTACAGGCCAAGGTGAGCCTAGAACGTACGACGACTCTCAGATCAAATACTGCAGCGACATCAGTACCATACCCCCAAACATCAACAAACACGGTGACACTTGTGTTAGAAGCCAAAGTGCTTTGTGTGTCGCATGCGCTAGTGCCATGCGAATGGCTCGAGGCTGGGGTGTGTGCGCAATGATAAGCTCAATTCTCCCACAGGCACGGGCGCAGCAAGCGATCACGCACATCACCGGCGCGGGCTTGATTGTCTGACGCACAAGGTACTACAACAACGGATTCCAAACCAAAGTATACACGGCACGTGTGTGCTAGCGCGCAGAAAATACACACAGGAACACAGGAGAGACGGCGGCTGATTTGACCCCTTCACTGCCGTAGGCCAAAGCCACCGTCAATGGAAAACTTGGATGGTTTGTGCTTTTATCGGGTGGCGAACCCAAGAACTGCAGCAAAGAACCAACAGAATCAGCGGGCTACAGGTTATTGCAGGAATACCAGACGATTGATGAGAAGAGGGCGGAAGGTAGGTCCGGGATGAAACGCACAAGCGTTCAAGCTGGAATTCCCCAACACAAGGAAATGCTTGGCATTGGTTGTGCAGAGGAAGTCCGTGTTGGAGACAGACGCATATTCCAAGACCAAAACACTCCGTCTTAGTACAAACCAGCGGCTATCCGGCAAGATTTTGAAACACCAGTGTCAAGCAATCACCGACGACCCAATGGAAAAGGAAAAGAAACGACTTTGGTGCAAATTAGGAGTAGAGGCCACCTACAAGGCTGGTTTACTCATCTGCGGCCAGGTGACCTGAACGGACAACCACTTCTCTTATACCTGCGTGTCCGCCACGCGCGACAGACGGTAACTCGCGAACCCTTTCCTCATCGCGATCCTCCTCTCTCCGCGCCTCGTCACGTCCACGTCGTCGTCGTCTTCATCGTCCAGCCGTGCCACCCTCGCGTTGAACCTGGCCACGAAGCACGCCCCGAACACCAGGGCCACGGCCAACCCGCCGATGATACTCGTGCCCAGGATGATGTCCCGCTTCTCGTCGTCGCTGAGCCCGGTGCCGAACACGAAGTCCCCGTCGCCGTCACCGCTGGCGCCCCCCCCATCGGCAGAGCCGTCGGCGTCTTCGCCGGGAGAGGGTGAGGTGGGCGTTGTGCCGGCATCGGAGGGGTCCAATGCTCCCCCCGCCCCCGCCGCCGCTGCCGTCGGCGCCGGCGTGCTCTCGACAGGGCTCTCTGATGAAACTTCTCCTCCTGTGGCCTGAGGAGCCGGGCTCATGGCGGTCGTCGGTTGGACCGCCGCCGGCGTTCTAGTGGCCACCGCCGCGGTCCCCGGGACGGGGGTTTCCTGCGCAGTTGGCGTCGGCGTTGCTCCCGGTGCCGTCGGTGTAGGGGTGATCGGTGCGATCGTTACCGCTGTTGCTGCTGTGGTCGGCGCTGGTGTCCGCCCGGCAGTGACCCGCATAGTCGGTGTTGGAGTCGCGGCACTCGCGGTTGGTTGAGGGGTAGCCGACGCCACCGGCCCGGTGGTCACCTCTGCCGTCGTGATCGGTGCCGGTGTCTCCACCGCAGGACGGGTCGGCGCCGTCGTCTCGATAGGAGCTTCCGTCCTTCGCGCAGTGGGTGACGGTGTCGCTATTGCTGTGTTGACCGGTGCGACGGAAGTTGCGACTGCTGCAGAGGTCGGGGGTGGCATTGGGGTGTAAGCCACGGCAGGACTTGGTGTCGGACCCTTGGACTCCGCCGTTCTCCTTGATGCCTTCGACCGACCAACTGCGGCGGCGGCGTTCCCTGCAGATAAGAGCCCGGCACTCTCGCCGCGGCTGCCTCTAACTTCTTCTCTCGCCATAGGCGTGGAACCAATGCTTTGGCCACCATGGCCGCTAGCTTCCCTGACCACAGACAAGAACCCGTTGCCCCTACCGTCGACGACGTGATGGTGGCGATATTGGACATCTTCGGACCAGCCTGATGCAACGGCGGAGGCTACCACAGCCACGCAAAGAACGGTCGCCGAGTTTCTATGGCGAGGCATTGTTTTCTCGCCACCCACCGCCTGCAACCCGCCTGCCCGCTAGGACCTTCTCCACAACAGGAATTGTTTGGTGATGTGGTGCTACGAAGACGCTTGTCTAGCCGATGACGGGGGTGGTACTATCGCCTAGCTTTCTGCGAGTCTTCCGCGGTAGGGGGTTGTCGGCGCTATGTACCAGTTTCGAGGTAGGCTTATGGTCCTCGTAGTCACACCCTCGTGTTCCGGAACGTATGACAATGCCTACAGGCACCTATTCCTTGGGTTCAAACAACTATCCACAGTAGGCCGTCTCCTCTAGCCAAGTCGTTCCACAGACACCCGTGATCTGTTTCAGATGTTTTGACAGGTGTGTGCATCGTGAGGGGAAATGGTTCGTGAGTTGAGTGCCACAATCTTGACTAGTCTATGGCTCAGTCGCATCTTTGCGATGTTTGGGGCTCGTGCTTTTTCCAGACCTACGGCTCGACTTCGTTCTCAACATACGCGCTGGCGCATTGCTTCAAACCTGTGTCGTTAAGCACGTCTAGGAAACCGTACACATCACCAGTTTCCTGGGCATTCTACACTGCTGTTGTGGGTCCCTCTCAAGCAACTTGCACGGCGGTGACCTCAATCAACAAGATGAGCTGTGGACGAACATTCTCTAAAAAGAGTTTAAGGAGTCCCAAGTTTTTCACCAGGGGCTGCGTCCATCCCCACCCGTACACCCCTCGACCAGTTGTGGCCTGCATTTCAATCTATGATAGGGCGAGGAGGCTACGAAAGTATTGTGGTGCACAACGCACTTTGTACCGGCTGCGATTTCAAACTGCTACAAAAAAATCTCCCGAATTGGCCCGTTCGGATTATTTTTTGGTGTGCACTTACCGAAAATGTGTGTCTGTACGTCGCTTTTCTCGTACAATTCGCCTCACAACGGTCTTCTTTCAGCTCTCCCTCCCACACGAAAGGATAGAGACAAACCAGCTATGTAGCGCGGACAACAGCAGTGTGTGTGAACTGCTGTAGGAACCATGAACGTTTGAACGTGTGAAGTCGTGATGTTTGATTGCACCGCAATAAGTTCTCCAGATCCCCCGAAAAGGCACTCTCATCAAGTCCCGCCGCACGCCCACACACGGAAGACTCGCTCATTGTTTCGCTACGAAAACTCGAGAGGCGAAGGACGAATGTTGTGATGAGTGAAAGGCTGGGCTATTTTTGGAGGCTTTGTGCATCTGTAGAGTTTGGAAAGTATCATGGTATGGGTGTGTGGGCCATAGGATATAGGATCCAAGCGACGACTTTCGATGTGTAGGTGTAGAATCGATGCCCATTTGAACACAAGATTCATTCGAGAACCCAATGGTGTGAATTTGAGGAGACCACTGGGATACACGGATCGCCACGTGCATGTCACGTGCTGGTATGAGCGAGCGAGCCAAGTCCCCCCTCGCTCTCTTTCTGAACCTTCGTACGCGCAAGAATCAACGGGAGAATATTACCCGCTCCACCAACTACAGTCTATTATTATTATTATTATTATTATTATTATTATTATTATTATTATTATTATTATTATTATTATTATTATTATTATTATTATTATTATTATTATTTTGTTTGCCCTCCGACAATTGCAGATAAATGCAGACATACATAAAAAGTCGATCGTAGAGGCCGTCATGCCAAGCCAAATTAACTCGATGCCCAACAGCTAGGATGGTTTGCCTCTAAGTCAACAAAAGTTTGGTTGAAACACTACAGCTGAACCCTAGGCACGATCCTTAGATGGAGAAAAACGAACAAAACCCCAACCTCATCCACCCGCAATCAAACAAAACTCGGCCCCGTCTTCCCTCCCCTGACATCGTATCGAACAGAAATCCGCTTTCCACCGAAGTGGTTAGGTTAAAGCTGTCGCACGCATATTTCGGCGCG